CTCAATAGCTTCTCTAAAATATATTTTACACTGCATTTCAATATAGTATTTCAAATGTATCTCTCAGATTACATAAACCTGCAACTTACCCATTTATCATGTTCATTTATAGTCAGTCTCACTCTGTCACAGGTTGGAGTGTGGTGGCATGATTACAGCAACCACAGCCTCGACCTGCTGGACTCAGGCAATCCTCCTGTCTCAGCCTTCCAAGTAGCTGGGACCACAGATGCACACCACCACACCCAGCTAATTTTTTTTCTTATTCATTTTAGAGGCAGGGTCTCGCCCAGTTGCCCAGGCGGGTCCCGAACCCGCGGGCTTAGGCAATGCTCTTGCCTTGGCCTCCCAAAGTGCTGGGATGCCAGGCGTGAGCCCCCGCACTGGGCCAGTTGCCCAGTTTTAATAGGCAATTGTCAGTGGTACTGTGGAAGGTATGATGTTCATGCTGACACCCAGCAGGTAGTGTTTTAAGAGTAAATTTGCTCCACCAGATTTCATTTAGAAATAAGAAAATCAGTTCCTGCTTTATTCCCAAGGCCAATATACTTCACTGTTTTGTATATCAGTAACATATACTGAATGTCACTTACCCATAGGGCTCCCGGGCTTCTATTCAGTGACCTGATAAAGTGTGTACTACTAGTTTCTTAAAAGCTCCATGGCACCTTACCCTTCACGATAGGTACAAAGTTATTCAACCCAACACTGCTAAGAAACCTTCCATCAACCCAAGCTGTACAGAATGCTACCGGAAGGTTGGATGCCGTGGCTCACACCTGTAATCCCAGCACTTTAGGAAGCCGAGGAGAAAGGATCCTCGAGCCCAGGAATTTGTGACCAGCTTGGAAACAAACCTTGTCTCTACAAAAAAATTTAAAAATTAGCTGTGTGTGGCAGTGCATGCCTGTAGTCCCAGCTACTCAGGAGGCTGAGGAGGATCGATCTCCTGAGCCCAGCAGGTCGAGACTGCAGTGGCCGTGAGCATGCCACTGCACTCCAGTCTGGGTGACAGATTGAGACCCCAACTCAAAAAAAAAAAAATGCTGGTGGCCACAGTCTGTCTCAGGAAGGATTCATGGCACGCTGAATCGCAAGCAAACTGCTGTTCCTCAGGGAGACAGCAGGTGGTGCACACAGCTGTGATCATGGGTGGGGGCAGGACAGATCTCTGATCCTTCCTCTCCTCCCCCTCCCCCCATGCACGCTGTGATGATGATCCTGGCGTGCTAGGCTCGGTGCTTGGTAAAAGACGGAGTAATTAACCCGTGGGTGGCACTGTTGAATTACACTCTTGTGAGCTTGGCCACCTCCTCTGCTTTTGCCTTCCAAAGTTTTTTATGCAGAGATATTTGCTCAACAAATTCTCGTGTTTGTCCTTCAATGGATATAAACTGATGTTCTCTCGTAAGTCTGTTGCACTCTGACTCCATGTTTTCCTTTCTTTCATCACATCTGCTCTCTACAACAGGGAAACCACCAGAGAGTGCAACTGGGCATGACATTGAACGCCATAAAACCAGCACTTTGTCTGCCACTGTGTCCCTAGGAGCGTGCACTGTAGGTAGCTCACAGGAAGTACTCAGGAAGTATTCAATGAACGTGTGGATGAACAGAAAAACAAGCAAGCCAGCTGGGCCCAGTGGTTTACGCCTGCAATCCCAGCACTTTGGGAGGTCAAGGCAGGAGGATCGCCTGAGTCTAGGAGGTAGAGGCTGCAGTGAGCTGTGATTGTGCCACTGCACTCCAGCCTGGGCAACAGACTGAGACTCAAACAGAAAAGAACAAATAAGCCAATGAACAAAAGGACAGATGCTCTATGCCACGGAGGAACAAAAGGGACAGGGTCGAATCTCACTCTGAAATGAAAGCCCTGGAGCAGGACTGCAGGTGTGTGGGATGAAGAACCTCGCACATGTGAAGCCCAAGGCCTGCCTCGACCATTGCAGGAGCAACTGACATTACATAACCCCAAGCTCTGTGAAAATGGTGGTACATCACACAGAGAGAGCAGCTTGGATATGACAATGAGCAGTGAACGAAATAAAGAGCACGCGGTGAAGGCCACAGCATGGAGCCCCAGCCATCTAGGCTGACACTCAGAGCAGGTGCAACCATGTTGACTGGACAGATCTGTGACCCTAGCTTGGACCTCACAGATCAGAGGCCCATGAAGGACATCGCTGGGCATGGGGGGAAGGCATTGCATCACAAAGAACTGACAGTTACAAAAGTCCTTTTTCTTGATAATATTGGATGTGAAGCCAATAATACAGAAACTCACATCTACCTGCCCAGGTCACAAAATAAGAGCTTTTCCTGGTCAGGCTCTGAGATGGAAGTACATGCCCAGAGGAGAGGGGTCCAAGGAAGCCTCCTCGCGTTCTGTGAATTCTTCCCAAGAGTTATTAGAAGAGTCAGCTTTACCTGTGTAGTTACAGTTCAAATTAGAAACTTGAGAAATGACAAGTGGCCAGACAGGGTACAGAGAGAATACACTGGGCATGTGTCACCTTTCTCCAAAGCAGGATATGTGTCAATGCCTGGAAAAAACTCTCACATATGAAGGCATCCATATTAGTGAGATTCTAGACAAGCCCTTTTAACATACACCACAGGGCAACTGTTACATGATTTTAATATTCACTGAATTTTCCAGGAATGCAATGGCCATGTAAATCAAGATGAGGCTGCATGTTGTTCTGTTTGAAATGTTACCAAAAGTTGTCCACCGTTTCAGAAAGTCATCTCTAGTGACAATCCTGCAATGTTCTGCCACCAGTCCACACAGTCATCGACATTTGAAGCCAGTGACTCCATACAAGTTCATGCACCTAACGACTTAATTTTCTCTCCTAGTTCAGTACTGAGTGTCCAAGGCACTTAGCTGCTCCAGAAATGCAGAGCGGTGATTTGGTGAGAGGTGGGCTTTGAGATAAGCATGGATTACCTTGTGTTTCTCTCCTGGGAATGTTTCATGCTGTTTAAAAACCTTTTTTATTGGTTCATAATAGATCAGATATTTGGGGGGTACATATGATTGTTTCACTCTGTTTTAATGTGCGTTATACCCATGCTTTATTACTGAAATACATTTTATTTCATTAAAAATTGCCTTGTATTCAGTTGGGGCACTATGGTCCTTGTTTAAAGTTCTGTGTGTACATAAATTATATTCACTGTGACATTCACTTCAGGATGTTTGGACTAAAATGTCTGTTATGAAAGGGGTACTGAGTCTGGGAGAGTTAAGAGACCCACTTACTTCATCCAACCTCCTCACCCTACAAGCACACAGAGGCTCGGAATGTGCTCACGGCCCCAGAGCAAGCTAAGGACTGCATCAGAACTGGCAGCCACCAGGCACCTGGTGCTCCTTCCAGTACCTGCATTGTCTTGAAGGGTGACTCCATAGATAGACCAAGAGGCGGAAGAACAACTCACACCTTGGAGTGAGCGGTTGACCATCAGACTCCAGGGTCAGGCCTGAGGAGGTCCCCACCCCTGACCCCCCGCGCAGGGGCAAGATGCCTCAGAGAAGCTGCTGCTTGCCTGCTTGTTTGACCTGAAAAGCATCTGGTCCTGTTTGTGCAAACTGAGTGTGGCCAACTCAAGGTACCTCTCTAGAAGGCATCAGGAGAAAGCAGACACTTGTGAGGCTTGTGTTTAAGGCTGGCTTGAAAGTAAAAAGGAGAAAGAACATCACTTATCTCAAGAAAGCAATATTCTGTTTATACTTTTTTTTCTTTGAGCCAGAGTCTTTGAACCAGAGTCTTACTCTGTTGCCCAGGCTATAGTGCAGTGGCACCATTACGGCCACTGCAGCCTTGACCTGCTGGCTGCAGCCCTCTAAGTAGCTGGGACTATAGGTGTGCACCACCATACCCGGTAATTTTTAAAATTTATTATAGAGATGAGGTCTCACCAAGTTGCTGAGGCTGATATCTCAAACCTCTGGGCTCAGGCAGTCCTCTTGCCTCTGCCTCCCAAAGTGCTGGGATGACAGGAGTGAGCCACCATGCCTGGCCCTTGTTTGTACTTTGAACGTGAACTTTTAAGGAGTACTTCAAAGTGAAGAAATCAAGGAGTATATGCTCAATTTAAAGTCATAAATGGTGCCCCTAGTTTCAGGCCTTGAGGTATTTCTAGTCAGATGGAGTTCATAGGAGGGTTGCATTTGCAAACTAGGTAGAAAGAATAGAAAAAAAGGCATGTTTCAAGTAACTTGCATATATTTAAAACACACATTAAAACAGAGTGAAACAATCACATGTACCCCCAAAATATCTGATCTATTATGAACCAATAAAAAAGGTTTTTAAACAGTGTGAAACATTCCCAGGAGAGAAACACTAGGTAATCCATGATTATCTCAAAGCCCACCTCCCGCCAAATCACTGCTCTGCATTTCTGGAGCAGCTAAGTGCCTTGGACACTCGGTACTGAACTAAACCAAACTGGGTACTCTCAAAGTAAGACCTAGGAAGCAAGCCAACCATTATTTTCCCTTCAATTTCCTTCTACACCTAGACTTTGGGCACCCAGCCTGCAATCAGGGCTGTCTTCCAAGCCTCACAAGGAAACCAGCACACACAGCACTGGCTCCAGGTTAAAGCTGATACCAACAGTCATAACATCCATGATCAACATCCATTAGAGCACCACATCTCTTCTCCTGGACTCCATGTGTAAAGACTTTCCACCTTAGTCCAGACAGCTGCCATACAAGAGCCCGGCACTTCAGGATGGAATGTTGAGCCCTTGTCACAGACTTTGCCTTAAATGGTGATCCTAAATGCCTATGCAACTGTTGTCATGAAATTACTAGAATCTGTATCTATCCAATAAAATAAAATGTGATGTGTCTAAAGTTACCAACGCGCTAAGCCAACACACAGAACTCTGTGTGGATGAGACACAGAATGGCCTTTTCATGTTATCTTAAGGGAGGCCTAAGGCAGACACAGCAGGCTACAGAGGCTCCAGCGAAGGCAGCTGCTCCCATGAATGGTGGCAAAGGAACACATCTGGTGGCTTCAAAACCCTGGGGGGGAACAAAAGTGCATTATGATGATCACTCTCTTTAGTTTTCTTTCGTGAGCACCTGCCTGAAAGAGAAGTGGATGACCCAGGCTTACAGTAGGGAAGCCTCTCCATGAGAGCCTCCTTCTGTGACCCCTGGGACCCACCAGGGACCCTAGGAGAGAACCCTGGGATGAAAGGTTGATGTTGGTGGGAAAACTCTAGGAAGCAAAATAGCCATGGTGCCACATGACACTGAGTGCGAGAGTGAGGGTACAGAAGCAGACAACGACCCATCTGGATGGCCCCACTCACTTGGCAATCCACACCTTAGCGGGGAAGGGCTCCGACTTCGAGAGATCTGGAAAACAGAAATGTGAACCGTGAATCACACCATGGAGGGAGCTCAAAAGATGGACGCTTTCGACATGTTTTTCCTAAAACCGGCTGAATGGCTAGCTCTGGGACACTTTAGACCTTTTCCCCTAAGGTCATGATTCCCTTTGTACTTCCTGAAGTCAATGGACACTCGCTTTGGCTTAAATTATGTTATTAATTAAAAGCTGGATTCGGTGGTCTGAGAGCAGCCACATTGACTTCAATGCTTTCCAGAGAATAACAATAATTATTAGAGATCATTAACTAGAGCCAACATAATGATATCATCTCTGGCAGATCTTTAATATAAATTGTCTCATGTGTCCAAAACTCTGCCCTATTAAGAAAGGTCACCAGGCAGCCAGAATAATCATTGCCAAACTTCACCGTGACTTTCACTAAGTGAAACATAACACTATCCCCACGGTCTGTTACAGTTCAGTCTGTTCAGTTCAGTCTACGGGTGTCACCCTTGCTCTGGGCTTTCAAACACTTTCGATAAATAGATGCTAATGGAGATGGAAGCTGGCCTGGATGAATCAAGATCTCAAGCCCAGAAAACAGACTACGCTGTTTTCCAGGTGTGCACAGTTATGTTGCAGCAAGAGGATGGAAAGAGACAGAAAGCTGGCTGCAGCTTTGCTATAGGATGTATTTTATTCTCAGCTAGAGTTTACATTAATTTGTTCCCACCAAGCACAAAATGAGAGAGAGAGAGAGAGAGAGAGAAGCTGGTGCAAACACGGCTTGTCTCAGAGGACACTGGCCTTAGAGCAGCCTCCCAGGGAGTATCCGGGAATGCACCCCAGATTGCCTTTGCATTGAGTGATCCTAAACACACTATCTGCCTGCATCTCCCCATTACAAACTAACCCACTAATAAGGGTAGCAAAGCTCTAGTGAAGTCTTTGAGAACAGGAGGACTGTCAGACACGTGCCTCCTTCATGTCCCCGGCATTTCTCAGGTCCACGTTTTCATGAACATTCCTCCTCAATTTCCCAGCCCATGGAAATTCCACCCATTCTAAGAGGTCAGACCAAAGTCCACCTCCCCCAAGAGCCTCCTCATGGCCAAGTCCGGAAGGAAGAGCTCTGATGGTGCCAGCCTCTGTGCCTTCTCTGTAGACTATCATGTTGTACTACTTTATGGACTCGCCCGTTTATTGTCTGTGTCACATTCAGTGGACTTGTTTAAGCCACACTGGCCTTCCCACATGGAGACCCAGTCACGGAAGAGATCGAGTCATTTCCATGTCCCTGCAAATCTGGTCTCCATCAGACACAGAAGGAATGTCTGTTCAGGGGCACGCTGGGGCCGCGACATGCTCCCTAAACTCAGGATGCTGCATCTTGTCAGCTGAGGGCATTTGTGTTTTTGTTTTGCTGAGGAGGTCTGGCAACTTTAGGGCTACAGGGAAATGCTAGAGACAATTTCCGGGAAGTGGAACATTGCCAGATAGGCCTTCACCACTCTCTCTTCTAAAGTTGAACATTTAAAGAGATTTTATCTGGAGGAAACGCCAAATGCTAGCCTATTGAATATGCAACTGTCTTGGTCCTACCCTATGTTCAAAAGGCGTTGACTGAATATTATGTGCTGAATAAATGAACAATAGTGGATCATGACAATGTGTTCAGGGAAGTTATCTCCATAGTTTTCAGACATGTTTTTGCTGCTATTTTTCCTTTGATGGAAATATTATTAGTAATCCTTCCAAGAGTGAATATACAAATAAACTAATCTTATTTTTGTAATCTGAAGTTGGGAACAAATTAATACCCTCAGTGCCCTTCATAAAGTATTGAAACCCAACCCGTTGGAGCAATTTCTCCAAATGTATATAAGAATTTCTAGAGGAGCCAGGGGCCTGTGCCCACATCAGCTGACAAAGACACTCCACCCTCTGTTCAGAAAACTCTCTGTTCTCTGATAGTCCAAGAAAAAAGCAACCTCCACTCCCTCTTCCTAGAATAGTAAGTTCCCTAGCACACAGTAATATAAAAATCAGTTTGGAGCCGGGCACGGTGGCTTACACCCGTAATCCCAGCACTTTGGGAGGCAGAGGCAAGAGGATTGCCTGAGCCCATGGGTTCGAGACTAGCCTAGTCAACTTGGCAAGACCTCGTCTCTACAATACATCAAAAAATTAGCCAAGCGTGATAGCGTGTGCCTGTAGTTCCAGCTACTTAGAAGACTGAGGCGGAAGGATCACCTGAGCCCAGCAGGTCAAGGCTGCGGTGGCCATGAGCATGCCACTGCATTCCAGCCTGAGCGACAGAGTAAGAATCCAACTCAAAAATTAAAAAAAAAAATCAGTTTGGGGTTTGCGTTGAGGCAACAGGTTCCCTTACTACCCGTCGACTCATAATCACTGCTTTTATGGGCAACTGTTGAAGCAGATCGAGTGTTAAGCATAGATGGGTTTTGAATAAAAACAACTGAATACACACCATGCTTAAACCAATGCGGCTACGGGGACAGATGGGACTTAAGCTTCTGCTTCGACATCGACTTACAGGCCGCACCGAATTCCACTTAAAAGAGAGAGAGAGACACAGAGAGAAACAGTCAAGAATTTGTGAAAGCTTAAAACAATATGCATGTCCCACCTGTCGAGCGGTTTCGCTGAAATGACTAAGTGTGCTCCTCTCTCCAGCTGCCAGTCGCCTTACGGCACATCTCAAGTGGACTCCCATGACAATGGCCTACTGAGGATATTCTGATTCTTGGTACTAGTGGAATTTTTTAAATGAGTAAACTGTTGGAAATTGCCTTGTAGGTGTAAGTGTTAGAATGTAAGCTCCTGGCGGGCAGGGAAGTGTGTCCCTTTTATTCATTACTAAATCCTTAGCACCTAAATACGGTGCTCTGCGCAGTACTGGGATCATAAGTAGCTACCCAGTAAGCAGGTGTCTTTGAATGAATGAAATAAACACCACTGCTGCCCCTCTACCCTCTAGCTAAGTGAATCAGGAAGAAGGAATCTATATCCACTAAGATCCTTCTTACACCTTCCCCTCCATTCAACTCTCTTTTCCAAGTTCTTCCTTTCAGGGCATTATAATTTGTCTCGGAGCTTAAGCTTGGGCAAACGTTGGTAACGTGTTTGATGGAAAAGAAAGAGTCAAAAGGCAACTGCTGTTTGCTACAGACAAGTGAGTGGCTGTTTCCTGCCCCCCTATCCACACTGCACTGTGGAAGAAGTTTCATAACAAAGAGCTTGCTGCCGGGTTGGAGGCACATTCAAGTGCACATGCATGCAGCGGTTGGGTCCATACAGCCAACTCCTACTGTCCCCCTTCCACAGCGCAAAACGTCTGAGGTAGTGTTCGCTGCAATGGGGGTTTAGGTTGCAAAAATCCTTTTCTTATGTTATTTGAAAATAAAGGACTCCCCTTCTCCACTGTATATGTGAAAAGCTGTCATGAAGCACTGCCCTGACTCTCTGGTCCCACGAAACAGAGAGGGGTCAGCCTGCGGGGGTTCTGCCCTGGTTGGGTCGCCACTCCCGAGTCCACTTAACCATCTCCAGAATGGCAGGGGTGGAATCTACGTGACATGAGCTGTGAGGGAAGGTCAAGCACTCGTGGCCACCAGTCCCATCACCAATCCCCCTACGACATTCACATGCTCACATGCTAACATACACACCACACACACACACGCACCCCCAAACACACTCACACAGTCACACACTCACACATGCTCTCATACTCACACAGGCTCACACATTCTCACACTCACATGCTCATATGCTCACACACTCACATGCTCTCACACACATGGCCACACAGAATCACACATGCTCACATTCACACATACATGCTCATGCTCAAACAGGCACACATGCTCACACACACACACTTCCTCACACACACCCACACATTCACACATGCTCACACATTCATCTACACATGCTCACACTCACACACACTCCCTCACACACATCACACATGCTCACAAGCACACACATTCTTACACACACGCTCACACTCACACACTGTATCTAAGACTCCCTTCTGAAGGCTGCTCATGATGTCACTCTCTCACTGCTGACACAGGACACAACCTTCCCAAGCTGACTGGCTCCTCTCCCGCCCCACCTTCAGTCTCTGTCTCTCCCTCCCTCTCTCCCTTCCCCGCTCCCTCTTTTCCTTCCTCCACATCATACCAAGGAGAGAGAAATGGGCACATTCATGGTTTTCCAAATGAAAAACTGTCAGTAAAAAAGTTGGCAAACTGTTTCCTCAAAGTTAATCCATTTTAAGTGCTTAGAATTATACAGACATTCCGAGTTCAAAGGGCTTGGCCCTTAAAATACCGTAATTCTTCCAAGATGGAGGCAGTGAGCATTCCATCTTAGAAACAAGCAACAAGGAGATGACACCAGGGAAACTGTGAGGAATCAAGCAGAACCCAGAAGCAGGGTCAACTCTTCCTGGCCTCTCCCTCTCCTTGTATGAACTCTTATCAGACAACCCTGAGGGCATCTCTCATGGAATTTCTGGGTGTATAAATGTTCTCGAACTTGTGAATCAAACACTTGGGATGAATTGTCACTATGCAAGGCCACCGTACAAAAGCCCCTCTCCTGGTGACGGCTTCCCCCTTCATGATGATGCAGTCATTCTCCATCAGCGCAGGCCACACATGGTAGAGCACCAGGGGGGCTGTGAAGTCCGAGTCGTAGCTGCGGCGGTACCTGTTTCAGACACAGCACAAGAGAGAGACGCTGAGTGGTCACCTAGCATATGGAGACAGCAGTGTCGATTTCCATTTTTTTTTTTTTTTTGGAGTTGGAGTCTCACTCTGTCACCCAGACTGGGAGTGCAGTGACTGCTCCCGGCCACCGCAGCCTCGACCTGCTGGGATCCGGCGATCCTTCCGCCTCAGCCTTCCGAGTAGCTGGAACTACAGGCGCACGCTACCACGCCCGGCTAGTTTTTGATTTATGGTAGAGATGAGGTCTCACCAAGTTGCCCAGGTGGGTCTTGAACCCGCGGGCTCAGGCAATCCACTCACCTCAGCCTCCCAAAGGCGCGGGATTACAGGCTGAGCCACCGAGCCCGGCTCCGATTTCCATTTTGAAAATGCTCAGGGGCCTGATTCTGTTCTTAAAGATGTGGAGGTGGGCACTAGGGTAGGAACCTGTGGCAACCAGGACCCAGCACAGACTTACTAAGACCAAGCTGTGTCAGACTCATCGGATTCCTTCTCTACTCTGGACGACAAGAGGTGCAGTTCAGAAAAATACTAGAGATGGGGACTCTCTGAAGTCCCCAAGGACTCCTGTGAGATTTCTCATGCTATGTAGTCCCAGCTACTTGGGTGGCTGTGGTAGAAGGACCGCCTAAGCCCAGGAGGTTGAGGCTGCAGTGAGCTGTGGTGGCGCCACTGCACTCTAGTCCAGGCTACAGAGCAAGACTCTGTCTCACACAAATATCACTCTGATCCCATCCACTCATAGGAAGAGGACAAGCCTGTGCACCGCTTCAGTTGTGCGAAAGTTTAATCTCCAAGAAAGAGCAAAGACCAGTCATGGCTGCAGCTGTGCCATGTCTTCAATCTATCTTCCTCTAGTGGCATCCAACAAATGCTCACTAAAAAAAAAAAGGTAGTTCCAGCTACTTAGAAGACTGAGGAAGAAGGATCACCTAAGCCCAGTAGGTCAAGGTTGCGGCAGCCTTGAGTATGCCACAGCACTTTAGCCTGGGCGATGGAGTGAGACTCCAATTCACAAAAAAAAAAAAAGAAGAAGAAGAAATATATGTGGATAGTTAACTTAAGAATTAAGAAGGTGGATTGGAAACTAGTTCAATGATCATATTCAAAAAGGGAAAATTAACGAACTGATAAAAACCCAAATGAAGATGCTGAGGGCTCTCCCAAATCCTGCATTAAGTCAACACATCTACCAATGACTTGTAGAAATAGAGAAACCATGCTCAAGGGAGGTGGGGGAGAGTAAAAACAACAGAAGACAAAAAATAGCTCAACGGGCTCAAACGAGAAGTTGCATCTGATTACAGAGGATGCAATATGGACACACATGGAGTCCTGCAATTGAGTTTCAACAGCATCAAGGAGACACGTGGCTTAGACACGTGGCTTAGTCACAGTCAAGCAGAAACACAGCAAGTCTCAGTTGTACTCAGGAAGAGTCAGCAGTGTGAGAAAGCAGAAACATAAAAAAGGATGAAAAACAACGGCAAATTAATTGAATGAATAAGACCGGGTGCAGTTGCTCATGCCTGTAATCCCAGCACTTTAACCCTAACCCTTACCCTAACTCTAACCCCAACATTCTTTTTATCTTCCTTAAAAAAAAAAATATTTTGTGTAGGCACGAGTTGCTGGTGACTCTCAGAGTTGCTGGTGGCAGGAAGATCGCTTGAGGTCAGGAGTGCAAAACCAGCCTGGGCAACCACAGTGAGACTCCCCCCATCTCTAAAAATTAAAATTAAAATAAAGAATAAGAATAAGCTGGGCACTGTGGCTCAAGCCTGTAATCCCAGCAATTTGGGAGGTCAAGGCGAGAGAATTTCCTGAGCCCATGAGTTCAAGACCAACCTGGGCATCTTGGCGAGACCTCATCTCTATAATCAATCAATCAATCAATCAATAGCTGGGTGTGGTGGCTCATGCCTGAAGTTCCAGCTACTTGGAAGGCTGAGGTGGAAGGATCACCTGAGCCCAACAAGTCAAGGCTGCAGAGGCCATGAGTGTGTCACTGCACTCCAGTCTAGACAACAGAGTGAGACTCTGACTCAAAAAAAAAATAAGAATAAGAATAAAAAGGGTGTTAGTTCCTCTAAACTCATCAGTTCACTTTCTGTAAGAGGCGTGCTCAGAAAAGCACAGAGCACAGGCCAAGTCAACGGATCTATGTGTCCAAAAGTCCCAGAGCCAGAAGGAAGACTGCTTTCACACGTGTGAAGGCTGCCAGGGTGAGGAGATAAGACTTGTCCTTGAAGTCCCAGAAGCAGAACCCAATCCAATTCCAGCCGCATAGACATCCAGGCACACAAGCCACAGAATGCCCTGGGAACAGCATGCTCTCTCTGGCAAAAGGCTTCTATGAAAGTGGGAGGCCCAGGAAAAGTATGTCACACAGGCAGACTCCATAAACTGAAACTGACCAGCTCTGAGTGGTCCCGTCCATCCTTTCAGGGAGAAAGGGAGATGATGACGACAATGTGCTCTGAGGTGGAGCCAAATGGCCAGCTGCAGAGGGACACTCTGGCATCCTGCTCTCTCATGAGTGGATGAGTGTCAGATGTATGTGAGATGCACGTCAGGTGCATGTCAGATGTGTGTTGGCGTACGTTGGGTGCATATTGAATGTGTGTTTGTATACATATACATGTCATATACATGCATCAGGGCAATGGCAAGAAAATATGGCCTGCCGTAAGGAAGCTAGAAAGCCCAAGATTGTGTGATTTGCACAGCACACCATCAGGCAAAGTGGATGGTCTCACACCAACTCCTGACTCCACAGCCCAGCAGCGGCCCACAGTGAGGATTTTCTGAATGCTCACTTCCTGCCAGGCAGCAGCCCAAGTGCTTGGTCTGAATGATCTCAAGTAACCTTCTCCAGCCCCAGCAGGAAGGTATTAGTATTTCCCACTTGACAGAGAAGACACTAAGGAACAGAAAAACCGAGTGGCATGCCCATGGTCACACAGCTAATAACGGGTGCGGAGGCAGGGCTTGAACCTCGGCAGCTGGGTTCTTACCACTCCCATGGCCTCTTCCAGAGTGATCTCCAGCCATGCCCTGAGAGCTCTATTAATGTAATTTATATAATCTCAATTTAAGTGATTTCATCTCAATTAATGTAATTTCTTCTAATTTATAGGGAGATATTTGCCAAGTGACACTTGGAAGCCATCGAACGGTCCTAGGCAGAAGAGTCAAGAGCATGTTTCCCATTGGCAGTGCGCATTGGAAGCCCCAGGTGCCCCCCTTGACCTGCTGCATGAAACATCATGACCTGGCCGAATTCAGTAACTCAGCTTGTAATTCCAGCACTTTGGGAGGCCGAGGCAAGTGGATTGCCTGACCAGCCCAGGCAACTTGGCAAGACCTCATCTCTACAATAAAATCAAAAATTAGCCAGGTACAGTAGTGTGCTTGAAGTTCCAGCTACTTGGAAGGCTGAGGCAGAAGAAACGTCATGACCTCTCCAGGAATGTACATTTTCAACAAGCCCCTTTAGTCATTCTGGGGCAGGTGATCCAGACAGTGGACTTTGAGAGACCTGACCTAGTAATGCAATAAAAACCAATAAAAGCAACACTCATGTGTATTTATGTACTTAAAAGGAATGTTCTAGTCCTCTATCTCTGCTCTCTGACATGTGTGAGCACAGCAAGAGGGCAGCCAGCTGCAAACCAGGGAAAGGCCTACACCAGAGCGCATGCTGACCCCGATTTCAAGCTCCCTTGCTTCCAGAGTAATGAGAAATACATCTGTGTTGCTTAAACCAAAAATAAAAATAAAAGATTTAAAAAGTTCTAGACAGATTCCAGGTACTCATTAATTCTCCCCAGAGACCAATATGTTGGACAGAAAATGATCCAGGACAGCTCTGCCCTGCGGTCCAGAGAAACATGTGGCAGGACCTGGAAGTTGGATAGTGCCTGGCCATGTCTCCACCCAGGGTTCCTTTCCCCAAGGTATTCGGGGCAGAGATGAGATGATGCATTCACAAGGAGCCCCTCAGCCTCTGTCCCAGAGTCTCTTACTTGCTGTCATTGAACACTTCTCCATCTGCCCCAAATGCAATGTCGAGGGGAGGGTCCAGGGACTGCATGGCAAAGGCGATGCAGCAGATTTCCTGGATGAAGTCATGGAGAAGGCAGAAGTCAACTTCAGGGGGGAACGAGATCTTAGGGTTGACATTCATGGCTCGGATCACGTCCTGCAAAACAGAAGAGTGTCCCTATTACCGACCTGTGGCAGGAAGCTCTGACAGCCCAACGATGCTGAGACAGATGGCAAGTGGGGGAAGGTGTGTAAGTGAGAACTAGACAAGCCAGAAAACAGTGCATGTGCTAAAAGGAGAGAGATGTCACCCAGGAACAGGGGAGGAAGAGACAGGACACAGACTGCAAGTAGCATGCTGCCAGCCAAGAGCCGGCCCAGCGCAACGGCTCATGCCTGTAATTCTAGCATTTTAGGAGGCAGAGGTGAGAGAATCACTTGAGTCCAGGAATTCGAGATCAGCCTGGGCAATATAGTGATACCTCATCTCTAAAAAAAAAATTTAAAGTTAACCGGGTGTGGTGACATGCTTATAGACGCAGCTACTTGGGAGCCTGAGGTGGGAGGATCAGGCCACTCAGGACCCTGCTATTGCACTCCAGCCTGGACAACAGTGGGAGATCACAACTCAAAAAAAAAAAAAAAAAAAAAAAAGGGCCAGGCTCAGCGGCTCAGCCTGTAATCCTAGCACTTTGGGAGGCTGAGGCAAGAAGATTGCCTGAGCCCGTGGGTTCAAGACCAGCCTGGACAACTTGGTAAGACCTCGTCTCTACTAAATAAAAAATTAGTCGGGCATGATAGCACACACCTGTAGTTCTGGCTACTTGGAAGGCTGAGGTGGAAGGATCGCTGGAGCCCAGCAGGTAAATGCTGGGGTGGTTGTCAGTGTGTGAGTGTGTCACTGCACTCTAACCTGGGCAAAGTGAGACTCCAACTCAAAAAAAAAAAAAGGCCAAAAGAGTCTCACAAAAAAAAAAAGGAAGAATAGACCTTTCCATGGCTTTTACTACCATTTCCTTATTTTTCTGTTCTGGCCAAGTATGTGACGTGCCAGCACAGAACTGTGACTTGTTCACAACCCATAATATTAATAATTATCATGTTTGCTTGTATTGAGTGTTTACTATGTGCCATGTCTTGTGCTAAGCAAGTTGTCTGTGTTCTTTCATTTAATTCTCTCAAAAACTTTGTGGAGGTAATGATCATTGTTGCTCCCATTAAAACTGAGAGAACCAAAGCACAGAGAGCTTAAGTAAACATGTAGGGTCACACAGCAAGTGGCAGGGTCAGGATGCAAGTCCCCCCTTGTCTTTCCCAAAGCCCTTTCTCTTAAGAACTAGGGTATCTTAGCCCTGATCTTAACAGTCCATTCAGGAAAGCTCAGAACATTCTCCCCCTATTGTATGTCCTAGACAATAATGGGTGCCACCAAGCAGGCTGAGTGCTGGTCCTGTTGTGTCTTCCACAACATAGAATGAATGCTCAGGATGGGAGGGAGCTCTAGGCTAGCTGCATCCAGCGACAATAGCAGCTGCAGCAAATTGGTCCTGAGGGAGACCCAGCACTCACATCAACGCTGCTTTGGGAATCATACAGGTCGAGGTGACAAATGATATAGTCGGAGACAGCATGCTCAAACTCATTCGCACCCACGTTGGACGGCATCAGCGACTTCCTCACGCGGATCTTAAAGTGCCGGAATGCCATCTTGGCCACATGGAAAGCCTCCTGCATGGGAAAATGCAGCAAATCAGGCAGTGGGAAGCAATGAGTGAGAAGGCCCAGGCAGGGAGTCAGACACAACCCAAAAGTCAGCATCGCGCTGGGCTGCTGATGGCTAAGTGCAGTCAGCCAGAGGGCTTCGTAATCCGGAAGAAATGGCCGCTCTAGAGGTTACAAGGCATATGGACACTTATAGGCCAAGCCACAGGCACTGATTCCAAGACAGTGACATTGTCCGGGGATACTGCAGAGACTCGAGCACACAAGTCTTTTGCCACGAGCCCATACAACCTCATGTGACTGACAAGGAACAAGAGGAAACTTGTCATGTAGGAAACATGCTTGTTTCCTGGGGCATTTGTCACATGGCTGTCACGTAGCGGGCCCTGAGGACACTCATGTCAGGCCCACTCCTACGCAGTGCTTCTAATGGACAAGCCAATGGGTTGGCAGACTGGCCTCACAAAGCCAGATGTTAATATTTTGTACTTTTCAGGCTACATACAGTCTTTGTCATGCACTCCTTTTTTTTTTTCCTTACAACACTTTAGGCATGTTAAGCCAATCGTACATTCTTAGTGCTAAGGCAGAATTTCTCTTGGAAATACCAGCCAGGTCAGATACAGCCCATAGGTCATGGTACGCTGACCTCTGATATAAACGAATACAGCAAGCAAAGTTCTGTGTTCTGACAATTCTGCTCCCCTACACACATTTGTGTGGGGGAGCAGAATTATTTAATGATTTTCTTAAGATTTAATGATTCTCATGATGGACTCAGCATCTCACTATGGTACTCATCCACTGAACAAACACATCTGCTTCGGAAATTATTACATAAGTGCTATTTTTATTTTTATTTTTGAGTTGGAGTCTCACTCTGTCACTCAGACTGGAGTGCAGTGGCCGCTCCCGGCCACTGCAGCCTTCACCTGCTGGGCTCTGGTGATCCTTCTGCC